ACGATCTGGATACGGCCATAAGAAATATTTTACTCAGGACCGATATGGATCAACGTGAAAAAGCCAAACTCTACTCAAACATCCTAACAAGGTTTCTGATGATCGTTAAACAAGGCGATCATGAGAACACTGTTTTAACACTCTCGTTACCAAATCCTGATCCCGGTCATAAAGATGATCGCGTCGCTACTACCGCCCGAGATAACCAGGGTTTGGAAGATGTCGTAGCTGAAGTTCTGAAGAACGTGCCGTCGAGAAGCGTGAAAAACAGTCGATACATATTAGACAAAATGTCTAAAGCTAAAGGACTCAGCTCTTGGAACGAGTCGGGTAAATTTGTGTTTAAAGGTAGAGTCATACCTGGTTCGCACATGCTTGATTTGTTAAAAATGCTACAGCCCCGCACCAGGTCCGGGATGACAGGAGACCTCTAGGATGGTCGGAGTTTCTACAGTCGTTTGCCGAATTAAACATTCCGTTTTCTACCATACCAAATCATCATGTTAGACGTATGATTAGTTCTTTAAAAAGTAAGCCTGGAGCGCTCTCTCACACACCGGAACCTATGCAGTCTTCTAAAAATTCTGTCAAGAATTTCACGTACTATGGCTCTGAGGACGGATGAACCCGTATTCAAATCACCGTCTCTCAATCGAAGACAATGGTTAGAATTTTAATGATGTATTTTCTTTAAATGTATGAATACCTACTGTTTGAATATTTTTGAATAAAACGCTGGAAAACGGATGTCGGTTTTAAGCGCTTTTTATTTATAATCAAACACATACAATGGATAATTCAATCATGCTACATAGTGGTATTACATGATTGCACACAATGAATACACGACAAAGTTTTTTCATTACAAGCAATAGATCCAAGTCTTTTGACAAAGAGCGACACCATTTTATCATTTTTAATATAATCGTCGCTGTACAAATTCATCACATAGTTATAGTCTCGACCCCTCGCTAGGTGATATAGGAAAAACACACAGTGCTGTCCGCACGCATCCGACGTAAAATCCTGAACCCGTTTGGTAGAATATAACATGACGGGGGCATTGGATATTAAAAAGTTTTTGATGGCGGCTGGAAAGCGTTCGCAGTCAGGAGCGTTGCCGAAGCTATCAAAAAAACAGCCGGAACCCTATCGAGTTAAATAAGCGGCGATCCAGTGTTCACCAGGCAGGTTCGAAGGGTGCGTGTTAATGATAGACATGGCCGGAAAGGTCCTTAACGGTCTTTCAGGCAGGTGATCGCTCGGAAGAACTCCGAGAAAATGAGTGTTACACGAAATTTTGTCCATGATAGCTGTGAGTTGCACCGTGTTCATTTTCTGTTCAGTAGTAATCGTCCAGAACCTGTCTGCGGTTAGACACTACGATGATACTGTCAAACACTGCGTAAACGACGAGATTAATAGTATGAGGTAACGGTTATCTGAAGCGCGCTTCGAGTCTGATATTCCCGGACTTGATGAGTGATATGTGCTGACCGCAGTCTTCATCAGGCGTGAGGTTAAAGGCATAAAGCGAGCAGCCTTTCAGAAAATCATCCCTGTTGATAGAGAGGGCCTGATTTTTAAGATGTCTCCCGCTCGCGGTCGCCAACTGATACAATTCCCGTACGGCAGATCCTGAGGTAAAGTCTGGCTGGAGAGGCTTGGCGGGAAATTGCTGTCCGTCTAGGTAGACGGCCAGGAACTCCAAATCGTAATGTTTGAATGCGAACGGGTTTTTCTCGTAGGATCCGGTGAATGTGTCATTATCCACCATAGCCAGGACGATAGATTTTGGTAACGTCCCCAAAAACAAATTTTCCTGATTTGATACTCGGGATCCAGCAGGTATGGAGAAATTGTTTAGGCATACCCTATCTACGGGGTACTTGGCCATGGTTGAGAGCAATGCCTGGGCATGAGCCAGTCTCACGGACGGTGATACGGACACTTTCTTGACAAAAAGGAAGGCTGACACTATATTTAATTTATAGGCATCGTCGCTCATCAGACAGAATTCATCTTTGCCTCTGATCATTCGTATTTTTATGTCGACGCCGTTTAGCATTAATTTTTATTGAAAGAAAATATCACTATGAATAGACACCAGCAGCTCCACAACCTTGCTCCCGGTAGTGTAGAGCGATCTCTTGGTCAGCCCCATGTTATGCCCCACAGGATCAGTTTCATCCATGTGACCTGCCGTGTCTTTGAAAAACAGTCCGGCTGAGAAAAGCGATTCCAGCGCATCTTTGCTGTAGTTGAGAAGACTCTCCGCACGTGAGGTTATCTGACGGAGAGACGCAAAGCAGTTTAAAGCCTGCATGGATCCTGTTTGGTAAACGTGCACCAGCAGTACTTAACAGAGCACCCGACCCCTTATCCAACAGCAGCACTAATTTAATTCTGTACCAGACGTGTTATTTAGGTCGATGTAATCTTCGCCGGTCCCCGCGATAAAAACTCCAAAGGCGACGAGTCCGATATAGCCGAAAAAGAAGGAGGTACTTCTAAATAGGTATTTTTCTCTATAACCGTCTGCGTCAGTGGGACTGTAAACAAATCCAACTCGGACTTAATACACTCTCCCGACATGCGGTGCAGTAACGCCATGCTAGAATATGGTTTTTACGGATCTTTTAACAGCAACGTGTCGCTTCACAACCTTTTTAGGCTTTCTGCGTGTGACTGAGACCTTCTTGGGGCAGCGCTTTGTTTTCTTTATTGAATGACCACGCCTCCTTATACCCGGAGGTTTAGACGTTCTCTTACGAGCCATGACCATAAGTCCTGAACTGCCTTGAGCTTTAGGATCACCATTATATGATCTTGACAGAGCGTTTGAGACGACGTCGGCTGCTATATTTTAGCGGCCAATTTTAGGTGCGGTTTAGCGATGCTGAACCCCCTTTTTAACAACGGCACTGCCATCCTAAACAGACCTCTGAAAAGTCCTCCTAGGCCAGCTCCGTACATAACGGCTTCTCCAGCATATCCGGGTAGGCCACCCCCCGCCTGGTTTCGCTAATAGTCGACATAGTCAGCTGCGTTCATCCCTCGTGGGTTGTAATAAGCCATTTTTAAAGCACAGATTGTTTAACTGGCCTAAAGTGTAGTTTTACAATGACTATCTAACACTGACAGTGTCATTGTCTCCTCTCGTTATATGTACGCATCTTAAAAGGGGGACGTACGAATCACCAACTGATTGGTATTCGATAATGTCGGTATAAACATACATCGTATAGAAACCCGCGTTGATATCTGCTTGATGAGGAGCGTCCGTGATAACGCTCATTGTAAAATTGGCTTTTTCATGGTAGGCGTCACGTCCTAAAGCCACGTCAGGCTTGGTTTCTAAAATAGCGGCGAGTTTCCCGTAGAAGCTTACCGAAATGTTGGGTTTTGCGATCAGCTGGACCTTGTTTTTTATTCGATCGTAACCTATTGCAGCTGCTGGTGCAATAAGTGCAATTATTGCATTGGTCACGGCTCGAACATTCTCGTAGTACCCTCCGCTTATTTGGAGCTTCCTTGATACGGAAACCCCTGATAACTCTTTAAACACGGTTGCACCTGGTTTATTCGCATGTTTCTGAGATGGTACTGGTAAGACATGTATGCTGAAAACCCCATCGCCGTCTTTAAGGGTGTACCAGCTTCTAGGATATTCAATCTCGGCAAGACCTACTTGCCATTCTCCTTTCAGGTTTATAGTTTTTGCTAACCTGGTCGTATAACTAGATATGCGATTTTCAGGATAAACTGACAAAGAAGCGTTGCACGGTAACGTGACGTAGAAACCACGATCATCCATGGTGAACCTTCACTCAAATGATCTCTTTCGGTAAAGGTTTGTACGCTTTAAGGTTTTTTTTTGTAAGTCCAACAAAGCTTTTTTGTCTATATAGCTATTAAATTTCGCGGGCCATCCTAGCCATTTCACTAAAACTAGTGTAGTTCGCCCCTGTTTTTTCTCCCCTAAAATCTTTTCCACCTTAAACGCCTTGTTTTTGCTCACGATTATTTTTTGTAACTCTTCTTTGTAAAACACCCCATCGATGACGTCGCCGTCATAATCAGAGAGTCTGTAAACAGGTGGATTACGCTGAATACACGCTGAGATAGTGAAAAATTCATCGGTGTAGTTCTGTTCATAACCCTTGGCGAACGGTCCTCGCACTTTAGAAATCCTGACCACATCTCCTACTTTATATTTAAAAGCGGTGTGCTCGTTCTTCTTCACACCACCGTACAAGTTTTGAAATACGGTACCTTCATTTTCTTTGCTGACGTCCGTCGGTCTCATCTTAATACTTCTATGGTAACTGGAGTTGTACCCCTGCATAATATCTTGCAAAACATCTATGTATCTCCGTGAATTTGTGGCAGATAAAAATCTCCACATTCGGCTTTTTAATGTTCTATTAAATCGCTCTAGCACACAATGGATAATTCAATCATGCTACATAGCGGTATTACACGATTGCACACAATGAATACACGATAACATTTTTTCATTACAAGCAATAGATCCAAGTCTTTTGACAAAGAGCGACACCATTTTATCATTTTTAATATAATCATCGCTGTACAAATTCATCACGTAGTTATAGTCTCGACCCCTCGCTAGGTGATATAGGAAAAACACACAGTGATGCCCGCACGCATCCGATGTAAAATCCTGAACCCGTTTGGTAGAATATAACACTATGGGGGCGTTGGCTATTAAAAAGTTTTTGATGGTGACTGGAAAGCGTTCGTAGTCAGGAGCGTTGCCGAAGCTATCGAAAAAACATCCGGAACCCTCTCGAGTTAAATAAGCGGCGATCCAGTGTTCACCAGGCATGTTCGAAGGGTGTGTGTTAATGATAGACATGGCCGGAAAGGTCCTTAACGGTCTTTCAGGCAGCTGATCGCTCGGAAGAACTCCGAGAAAATGAGTGTTACACGAAATTTTGTCCATGATAGCTGTGAGTTGCACCGTGTTCATTTTCTGTTCAGTAGTAATCGACCAGAACCTGTCTGCGGTTAGACACTTCGATGATACTGTCAAACACTGCGTAAACGACGAGATTAATAGTATGAGGTAACGGTTGTCTGAAGCGCGCTTCGAGTCTGATATTCCCGGACTTGATGAGCGATATGTGCTGACCGCAGTCTTCGTCAGGCGTGAGGTTAAAGGCGTAAAGCGAGTAGCCTTTCAGAAAATCATCCCTGTTGATAGAGAGGGGCTGATTTTTAAGATGTCTCCCGGTCGCGGTCGCCAACTGATAAAATTCGCGTACGGCAGATCCTGAGGTAAAGTCTGGCTGGAGAGGTTTGGCGGGAAATTGCTGTCCATCTACGTAGACGGCCAGGAACTCCAAATCGTAATGTTTGAACGTGAACGGGTTTTTCTCGTAGGATCCGGTGAATGCGTCGTTATCCACCATAGCCAGGACGATAGATTTTGGTAACGTCCCCAAAAACAAATTTTCCTGATTTGATACTCGGGATCCAGCAGGTATGGAGAAATTTTTTAGACATACCCTATCTATGGGGTACTTGGCAGTGGTTGAGAGCAGCGCCTGGGCATGCGCCAGTCTCACGGATGGTGATACGGATACTTTCTTGACAAAAAGGGAGGCCGACACTATATTTAATTTATAGGCATCGTCGCTCATCAGACAGAATTCGTCTTTGCCTCTGATCATTCGTATTTTTATGTCGACGCCGTTTAGCATTAATTTTTCTTGAAAGAAAATATCACTGTGAATAGGGGCCAGCAGCTCCACAACCTTGCTCCCGGTAGTGTAGAGCGATCTCTTGGTCAGCCCTGCGTTACGACCCACAGGATCAGTTTCATCCATGTGACCTGCCGTGTCTTTGAAAAACAGTCCGGCTGAGAAAAGCGATTCCAGCGCATCTTTGCTGTAGTTGAGAAGACTCTCGATGATACATCGGTATGGGTAAGTGCTCGAACTCTGAGATATCAGACGATCGCCGAGACTGACGTCGACTTGTGAAAATATAGTAGCTCCGGGGTAATTTATTAGGGCTACCTTTGCGGGGTCTGGGATGTCTCCCCCATTAGGTCTTGTGATTTTAAGACGTAGAAACAACAATGTGTTATTTAGGTCAATGTAATCTTCACCGGTCCCCGCGATAAAAAACTCCAAAGGCGACGAGTCCGATATAGCTGATAAAGGTGGTACTTCTAAATAGGCGTTTTTCTCTATAACCGTCTGCGTCAGCGGTACTGTAAACAAATCCAACTCGGACTTAATACACTCTCCCGACATGCGGTGTAGTAACGCCATGCTAGAATATGGTTTTTACGGGTCTTTTAACAGCAACGTGTCGCTTCACAGCCTTCTTACGCTTCCTTGAGACCTTCGAGACCTTCTTGCCCCTGGGCTTTGTTTTCTTTATTGAATGACCACGCCTCCTTATACCAGACGTTCTCTACGTTCTCTTACGAGCCATGACCATAAGCCCCGAACCGCCTTGAGCTTTAGGATCACCGTTATACGCTCTTGACAGAGCGTTTGAGACGACGTCGGCTGCTATATTTTTAGCGGCCGATTTTAGGTGTGGTTTAGCGATGCTGAACCCCCTTTTTAACAAAGGCACTGCCATCCTAAACAGACCTCTGAAAAGTCCTCCTAGGCCAGCTCCGTACATAACTGCTCCTCCGGCTAGACCACCCAGACCACCCCCCGCCTGGTTTCGATAATAGTTGACATAGTCAGCGGTGTTCATCCCTCGTTAATCCATTTAATCCATTTTTAAAACACGGATTGTTTCACTGGCCTAAAGTGTAGTTTTACAATGACTTTCCCGTAAGAAAATGGTATTTCACGGTTTTGGTCGTCCTTTAATTCTACGGCTATGTCCGTGATGAGCGACTTGTTGACCGATGCGTAATGGGGTTTGTCATATCTAACACTGACGGTATCATTGTCTCCTCTCGTTATATGTACGCATCTTAAAAGTGGGACGTACGAATCACCCACTGATTGGTATTCGATGATGTCGGTATAAACATACATCGTATAGAAACCCGCGTTGATATCTGCTTGATGAGGAGCGTCCGTGATAACGCTCATTGTAAAATTGGCTTTTTCATGGTAGGCGTCACGTCCTAAAGTCACGTCAGGTTTCATTCCTAAAATGGCGGCGAGTTTCCCGTAGAAGCTTACCGAAATGTTGGGTTTTGCGATCAGCTGGGCCTTGTTTATGTGTTATTTAGGTCAATGTAATCTTCACCGGTCCCCGCGATAAAAAACTCCAAAGGCGACGAGTCCGATATAGCTGATAAAGGTGGTACTTCTAAATAGGCGTTTTTCTCTATAACCGTCTGCGTCAGCGGTACTGTAAACAAATCCAACTCGGACTTAATACACTCTCCCGACATGCGGTGTAGTAACGCCATGCTAGAATATGGTTTTTACGGGTCTTTTAACAGCAACGTGTCGCTTCACAGCCTTCTTACGCTTCCTACGTGTGACTGAGACCTTCTTGCCCCTGGGCTTTGTTTTCTTTATTGAATGACCACGCCTCCTTATACCAGGAGGTTTAGACGTTCTCTTACGAGCCATGACCATAAGCCCCGAACCGCCTTGAGCTTTAGGATCACCGTTATACGATCTTGACAGAGCGTTTGAGACGACGTCGGCTGCTATATTTTTAGCGGCCGATTTTAGGTGTGGTTTAGCGATGCTGAACCCCCTTTTTAACAAAGGCACTGCCATCCTAAACAGACCTCTGAAAAGTCCTCCTAGGCCAGCTCCGTACATAACGGCTCCTCCAGCATATCCGGGTAGACCACCCCCCGCCTGGTTTCGATAATAGTTGACATAGTCAGCGGTGTTCATCCCTCGTGGGTTGTAATAATCCATTTTTAAAGCACAGATTCTTTCACTGGCCTAAAGTGGAGTTTTACAATGACTTTCCCGTAAGAAAATGGTATTTCACGGTTTTGGTCGTCCTTTAATTCTACGGCTATGTCCGTGATGAGCGACTTGTTGACCGATGCGTAATGGGGTTTGTCATATCTAACACTGACGGTATCATTGTCTCCTCTCGTTATATGTACGCATCTTAAAAGTGGGACGTACGAATCACCCACTGATTGGTATTCGATGATGTCGGTATAAACATACATCGTATAGAAACCCGCGTTGATATCTGCTTGATGAGGAGCGTCCGTGATAACGCTCATTGTAAAATTGGCTTTTTCATGGTAGGCGTCACGTCCTAAAGTCACGTCAGGTTTCATTCCTAAAATGGCGGCGAGTTTCCCGTAGAAGCTTACCGAAATGTTGGGTTTTGCGATCAGCTGGGCCTTGTTTTTTATTCGATCGTAACCTATTACAGCTGCTGGTGCAATAAGTACATTTATTGCATTGATCACGGCTCGAACATTCTTGTAGTACTCACTGCTTATTTGGAGCTTCCTTGATACGGAAATCCCTGATAACTCTTTAAACACAGTTTCACCTGGTTTATTTGCATGTTTCTGAGATGGTGCTGGGAAGACATGTATGCTGAAAACCCCATCACCGTCTTTAAGGGTGTACCAGCTTCTAGGATATTCAATCTCAGCAAGACCTACTTGCCATTCTCCTTTCAGGTTTATAGTTTTCGCTAACCTGGTCGTATAACTAGATATGCGATTTTCATGATAAACTGACAAAGAAGCATTGCACGGTAACGTGACGTAGAAACCACGGTCATCTATGGTAAACCTTCACTCAAATGATCTCTTTCGGTAAAGGTTTGTACGTTTTAAGGTCTTTGTAAGTCCAACAAAGCTTTTTTGTCTATATAGCTATTACATTTTGCGGGGCCATCCTAGCCATTTCACTAAAACTAGTGTAGTTCGCCCCTGTTTTTTCTCCCCTAAAATCTTTTCCACCTTAAACGCTTTGTTTTTGCTGATGATTATTTTTTGTAACTCTTCTTTGTAAAACACCCCATCGATGACGTCGCCGTCATAATCAGAGAGTCTGTAAACAGGTGGATTACGCTGAATACACGCTGAGATAGTGATTTAAGGTTTTTGTAAGTCCAACAAAGCTTTTTTGTCTATATAGCTATTAAATTTCGCGGGCCATCCTAGCCATTTCACTAAAACTAGCGTAGTTCGCCCCTGTTTTTTCTCCCCTAAAATCTTTTCCACCTTAAACGCCTTGTTTTTGCTCACGATTATTTTTTGTAACTCTTCTTTGTAAAACACCCCATCGATGACGTCACCGTCATAATCAGAGAGTCTGTAAACAGGTGGATTATGACGTTGCTATGCCAAAGCCTGCTAACGTCATGCCTGCTATGCCAAAGCCTGCTCACATCATGTCTGTCAAGCCAGAGCCTGCTAACGCCATGTCTGCTACTCCAGGACCTGCTCACATCATGCCAGGACTTGCTCACGTCATGCCTGCCAAGCCAGCGCCTCTTCACGTCATGTCAGCCAAGCCAGAGCATGCTCCCGTCATGTCTGCTACGCCAAGTCCTCTTCACATCACGTCTGCCAAGCCAGAGCCTGCTCACATCATGCCAGTCCAGTTCCGCCTCCACTCCACCACCCTCCTGGACTTGTTGGGTTTTGGTTGTGTTTGTTTGGGCGTCTGGTGCCGCCCATAGAGGGGAGGATATGTAATGTGATGTTTTGTGTTGTGTTTCTTGTTCATGTTTTCATGTCTTTTATTTTGGAGTTTTTTATTCATGGTCCCTGTTTGTGTCATGCTTCCCTTGCCCTCATGTATTCATGCCATTGGTTCTCTTGTTCATTGTGTCATGTGATTCCCTTTTCTGTGTGTTATGTTTTGACTTGTTCTTTGGTTCATGTGTCATGTTCTGATTGGTTGTCTAGGTCTTGTGTCTTGTTTCCCATTGGTTTGTTCTTGTCATGTGACCCTCATTCTCTTCATCCCATTCCTTCTCAGGAGTTTTAGGTGTGTATAAACCGTCCATGTCTATGTGTTTCACAGCTCTTTTCTGATTTTCCACAGAAGTGCACGGGTCTATTTATCCAAGCGCACCTTGGAATGCGACCTGATACCACGGACACGTCCGCACATGTGAGTCCGGATGTGGGAATGCTCCATAATATCTTCAAAAACAATATTTAATGTATCACCTGTCATCCTTGGGCTCTTTCATACAGCTGTACAAACATCATTTGTCATCCGGTTTGACGGCCGGATTTCACGCGCACCGGTTTTCGCATATGGAAATTATTATGATGTCAGAGGTCGCATATGGATATAATTATGGGTCAAAGATCAAAGTCACGAATCAAATTTTGTCATAAGCTACCGTATATTGACTACTGTGGTGCCCAACCCTGTTCCTGGAGATCTACCTTCCTGCAAAGTTCAACTCCAACCTGAACTCTGCAGGTAGGTAGATCTCCGGGAACAGGGTTGGGCACCACTGCTCTACAGTATGTTGTTCTTTGTTGTCACTGTCTGTTGGGTTTTTTTCTACCTCTATCCCTGTCTCTGCTAGGCCTACCGTAGCATCCTCCCTCACAGCACTGCTATTGGAAGACCAGGAGTCTCTGGCTATACTGATTCCAGCAACATCCTAGTTAATGAACAAAGCATAGGATGTAAACATTACAGCAAAATATTTTCTCACTGACTGCTCTCAACATTGGAATACACATGAATACAAACAAATAATAATAGCACAAAAGGGAATAGAATGTATAGCAAGAACTATAAATATTAGCAGCAGTAATAGCTGTGTGTGTGTGCGTGTACCAACAGATTTTTACATTTTTAAATCCGTTTTGATATACAATTATTTGTGAATTAAAGTATACTGAAGTGTTGCTAGTATGTGCTGCATGTTGAAAAAACAATTTTGTTCCCTTTAAACAATTTTGCGCTTGAAATGGCTACAATTATTGTTGCTATAGGACGAGGCCCCGCAGAGAACAGAGAGCGTGTGGTAGAAGGAGGAGGATTTTTTTCCACACATATTAATTTTATTTGGAATGCCAGAAGAACACATTGTCCGAACATATTGTTTGCCAAGCCATGTTATTTTTAATTTGCTTCAGGAAATAAAAGATGACTTGGAACCTTCAACTAGGAGTCTCGCAATACCAGGTCTATCAAAACTTCTTGCAACCCTTCATTTTTTGACCTCCAGTTCTTTTCAACGTAGCCTACTGTGGCTTATTTATTTCTTTATTCTTTAATTGCGACTACGCTAATTTGAGCTGTTCTTGGTATATTGCATTGGTCGATATGTAAATTAGATGTTGCATCTGAGTTCTTTAATTTGCGCATTGTTAGTAAATCACCCACATACATTTCCACACCCATCGGCGCTGTTTTGGAATAGCGCTCTGGTGCTAATTTGCCCTGTTTAGTAAAACTGTCCCTAAGTGTGTGTTGGTGTGCTTGTCAGTACATAATGTAAAATATTACAATTTGGCATGAAAATACAGAGCAGGATTTTCTCACCAGAAGAAATATCCGGAAGATCCTAGGCTCTCTTCTTTGTCTTGCAATATGCGATTATCTGTTGAGACCCATGCCCTTTAGAGCTCAAAGTCTATCCATCCCTGACATGTGGGTATAATATACCTTAGTCCAGAGCAATCTAAAATTAACAAAGAATAGGAACAGTTAAATTCAAACATAAGACAACATTTCCTACTTCAGTGTTCAAAATATAATTAAAATCTCACTTGTTATTATTTACCAATTGAAACAAAGTGAACAGAGAAAATTTTTTATGGTTTT